ATAGGTCAAAACTTGATATAATTCTATATTTATAGTATTTGTATTTGTATTAAATGATTTTTTCAATTTGAAAATAACCTTAATTAAGTTAATATTCGCTGTTTAAGTTTCTTTAGATAGGTTTTCAAATATGTTTTTTTGTAAGTTTGAGTTTTGTTCATAAATGATGTGGCATTTTTATCTACGGCGTCATCGACTGTGGGAATCCATTCGTCAGAGTCTTGAATCGGTGGTGAGGAATGTTTTCAATGAAATTATAGTAGTTATTAAAATGTAAGAGAAATTGCATATTCATTTAATAAATAATGAAAATAATTTAATTTTGTTGTTTTTTTTTATTTTATCTCACATACAATTTTTTGAAAATATATATTAGGTAATATGTGCAATGATTTAACTTTTTGAGCTCTTAACCTATATTATTCAAGCCTCATTAAGCCATCCACATAGGCAGACGCGTGGGACTTACTTTTTTTTTTTTTTTTTTGGTCTGTTTGTTTTTGGATCTATTTTTATTATTTTTGGGTTGAGCTATATTATAATAGGATAGTTTTAAGGCTTTTAAAGCCATCCGCGAAGGCAACCGCGTGGGACTTGCTTTTTTTTTTTTTAATTTTTCGTTTTTGGATCCATTTTTAACTATTTTTGGGTTGAACTTATTAAATTTTAGCATTTATCCAACTATTTTGATATTTAAAACAATAAGCCCAAAAAATAAACATAAAACCTTATAAACAAAAAGCCCATATGATAATAACCTAAATCAAAAAATCAAAATAGTTAAAACAATAAGCCCAAAAAATAAACATAAAACCTTATAAACAAAAAGCCCATATGATAATAACCCAAATCAAAAAATCAAAAATACATGATAGTTGTGTGGTTTGAACCCACGATCTTGCATGATTAATTAGATACCTTATACCACTTGGCTAAAGTGTATTTCATTGTTTGTAATCATCTTATCAAGACTATGTGTTTTTAAAAAATACCTACCGGACCCACAAAACTGCTGACGTGTCGCGCTGTGGAGCTTAGAAAGTCTACTATTATAATATAGAAAAATAATTTAATTTTGTTGTTTTTTTTATTTTATCTCACATACAATTTTTTGAAAATATATATTAGTTAATATGTGCAATGATTTAAATTTTTGAGCTCTTAATCTATATTATTCAAGCCTCATTAAGCCATCCACGTAGGCAGACGCATGGGACTTGCTTTTTTTTCTTTTTTTTTTTTTTTTTTATCCTTCGTTTTTGGATCCATTTTTAACTATTTTTGGACTTATTAAGTTTTAGGGTTTGAACTTATTAAGTTTTAGGGTTTATCCAACTATTTTGATATTTAAAACAATAAGCCCAAAAAATAAACATAAAACCTTATAAACAAAAAGCCCATATGATAATAACCCAAATCAAAAAATCAAAAATACATGATAGTTGTGTGGTTTGAACCCACGATCTTGCATAATTAATTAGATACCTTATACCACTTGGCTAAAGTGTATTTCCTTGTTTGTAATCATGTTACCAATACTATGTGTTTTTAAAAAATACCTACGGGACCCACAAAACTACTGACGTGGTGCGCTGTGGAGCTTAGAAAGTTTACTATTATAATATAGATTTTATATGTAATTAGCAGTTATATTAAAACGTAGGATTAATGTGAATGTTTAGTTGGACACAACTTTTACCAATTGGTGATGATCCAGTTTTAATAGAATAAATTAAATTTTTATCCGTGCTTTGAAAATGTGAAGTTATGTTGATGCAAATTTTAAATAATCGCATTTCCTATATATGTAGAATGTGAGATAAATTTGTTTAGTTTATTAATTTAATCAAACATAGTATTTTAAAAAATGTAAGATAATCTTTCAGTAAAAAATTTATATGACCGTATTTTTATTTTATATAAAGTAGACATATGTATAAAATCTATAACTTGACGTCTGTGTAATCATGTGCATAAAATACAAAAGTCCGAGTATTTAGTTTGTTTAATTAAAATTAGAAATTTCTTTATTATGCCAAAAGAAAACAGTTGGGGATTTAATAAACCAACCTCTGCCACATGTTTTTGTGTTATGCTAAATAATCTAGAGATTATTTGATCTCACACCCTTTTGAGGGTCAATATTGGGTAAATGTCTATGATGGGACTGATCCTTTTTATATGACGAAATTGCCCTTCCTTTACTTGCATGTGACTCTCTCTCTTCTGACACACGCTCTCTCCTGACACTCTCTTTCCTTTGATTCCTCTTCTTTCTCATTCTAAAACTTTTTTATCATGTTAGTTCCTTCTTTTTTGTGTAAAAATTTATTGTTGCGAAATTACAATTTTACTACTATTCTTTTGAATCTAAATTATTTTAATTTCACCACATTCTGAAAAAAAATCAGCATTGAAGATTTTTTAAAAATCGCTGAGATGTTAACACTTATGTTAGCTGTTAACAAATAATGTAGATGTCAACAAAAGTGTTAACTGTTAACAAATACATGTACCGGATGTATTAACATAGGCATTAACTGTTAACAAATTTTGTAAATGTTAACAGATGCGTTAGCTGTTAACAAAGACATATATTACAAGTGCTAACAGAGATGTTAGTTGTTAATAAATTTTGTAGATGTCAATACATGCGTTAGGTATTATATGTTAACAAATAAATATTGTTGAAGGTTTATTTCTCTATCAAAATGAGTAAATTTAAAAATTATTTACAAATAAAATTGTAGATGAGAAACAAAAATCAAGAAAGAAAGAAAGAAATGAATGTGAAAAAGAGATGTGAAAAATATGTGTGGTTTAAATAAAAGGAATGTGAGAAAGAAATGAAGAATCGTTGGAGAAATAGTGATGTCAGATATTTCACATGGGAAAAAGAAGGTGAGAAAGGCAAAATCGTCTAAGCACCTAAATTGTGTAAAACTTTACTCTTATGTTCCATCATGGATAATTGCCTAATATAGGTTTCGATTTTGGGCATTTGCCTAATTCTCTCAATAATCTATTGACCCATTATCATTCTAAGATTTGCATTGACTCGAAAAACATCCCCTTCTTATTCTTATTATTTGAGGAGAACTTTTGCAAATAAACCTTTAGTTCATGTGTTTATTACATGCATGCCATTTCCTACGTGGCAACTCCACAAGCCTTCTCACACCTTTTAACTAAAAGACCTTAGTTTACTAGAATAATTACACAACATGCCATTGATATAAATATACATATATGACATATATGATATATGATATGATATATGATATATATATAACCGCGGATTGGCTAAAGTATGATGAAGATAGCATTAATATATTTCCTTATATATTTCCTTATATACGATACAATATATTTTGTTACATAAGTATGATATATTTCCTGATATAAGTATTTTGTCATCACCTACGATATATTTCAAAATATATTTTGTTACATGAAGTATAAATAAAAATAGGGAAAAAATGCGACCTTATTTCATAATTAGGCATATATTTAAATTTTAAATATAATATTTTATATTTTATAAAATCAAACTTTATATTTTATATTTGGACAATATTCGATGTACAAAATACTATTGTCTTCAACTTCAAAATATATTTCGTTACATAAGTATAAATAAAAATAGGAAAAAAATGCGACCTTATTTCATAATTAGGCATATATTTTAATTTTAAATATAATATTTTATATCTTATAAAATCGAACTTTATAAAATATTTCGACAATATTCGATGTACAAAATACTATTATCTTCAACTTCAATTAACATTAATGACCGAATCTGCATGCGTATTTCAGTTTAATGGTTTCTTTCCATTTGAATGTCAATCAGCTATATATAATATTTTGAATTAATATTCTATTTCATAATTAGGCATATATTCTATTTCAGTCACATAATTTTAGAAACTAAATCTCGGAATGTTTTTATTAGGTAAACGGTTTAATGGTTTCTTTCCATTTAAATGTCAATCAGCTATACAAAATATTTTTCGACAATGTCAACTAAAATTAATGACCGAATCTGCATAGATATTTCTAATATTGAATGAATATATTTCCGTCACATAATTTTAGCAACTAAATCTCGGAATGTTTTTATTAGGTAAACGGTTTAATGGTTTCTTTCCATTTGAATGTCAATCAGCTATATATAATATTCTGAATTAAATGATATATCCATGAATTGGAATTTCCTTGATAGACAAGCACAAATCGCAAATGTAAATTCTATTTAAACATATATAACTCGAGTTATTCTTGGTCCATTCGATATTCAGACAAGCAAGAATAAACCTACACATCTTCTATGGCCGCCATGAACCTTATATCTGAGTTGAAGCCTTTCAAGAACCAATGGAAGGTTCAAGTGAAAATTGTCCGCCTTTGGAAAGAGTATTTTGCAGCTGCTGGGGAGACTATCGAAATGGTCTTCCTCGATGCTAGAGTAAGTTAATTTTTTTAGAAATGATCGAGTTTTATTCTATTTCTCTTTTTGACGTATGAAGTTTATATTTATTATTTTATTTTAAGTATATCATTTCGATGCGTTTAAAATTTTAAAAGAGTATGTGTTGTTTCGTAAACTAACTAATTGTTATTTTTGTATGTAGGATTGCAAACCAAGAGTTTTGAAGACAATTTAAATTATTATATCATGTTTAATTTTCTATTTATTATTTTATTTTAATATACTTTTTTCTCATTATATCATGTTTTATTTCTCTATGTTTTATTATGATATTAATTATTTTAATTTATTTACTACTTTTTTTAGTAGACGATTTCTTAATTTTTTTGTATTATCATGTATCTATAAGACAAATAGATATATAAGACAAAAAATGAAATAAATAGCTATGAATCAATGATTCGTTTCGCAGCTATACTAATATCTCATTATATGACTATATGATTTTTATTACTAATTCACATCCACTACCTATTTTTAGTTAAACAAATTAATATACCAAATTATTCTTCGATCAAAGTCAAAATAATCTCACTCCGCACAGGGCGCGGATCAACACCTAGTTACATTTTATTTCCGTAGTTGTTACATTATTATTTTTGTTTGCGTAACTTGTAATACATATAAAAAAGAAAATATTAACTCAAACTTTTAGTCAGATGATTAAAAATCATCATGATCATCATCATGTTCATAAACATGACCATCATAATCTTTATCATATAGTGTATCCAAAATATCCTTAGCAGAGGACGAATCCGACCCAACAAGCCGGTCTAATTTATCCTCAACCCACCAATCTCCCGATTGTAACTTTTGACGACTTTTAGATTTGCCGGCAGACTTTATAGCTGGTGACACATGGAAATTACTATACTTGGAGCGCTCGCATTTTCCAGGGAATTTTGAATGATTGGTAGGTTTTGATGGCACTTTTGTGGAAGCGGTTGGTGAATCCAGTCGGTTCACAAATTGGTTTGTGAGTCGTGGATTTAATCTTGGCGGATGAATCATCCCAGTCCGAACGAAGCCGTGTTGACGACCGTCCCTCTTCATTTTTGCTTATTTTATTTGCGACTTGGTGAACTGTAATTTGCGATTGTGTTGATATATAAAGGGATGTATATTTGCGGAGCACGCCAAATATATTTGGGACACAAGAAAATGAGAATAGTCAAATGTACTTGTGCACCAAGAAAATAGTATTATATTCTTTTTTTTTTGAAAATTGGCTTAATAGTATTATATTCTTGTCTGCTTAATTTTAGCTTTTCTAGGCATTAACTAAACTCTTTTGTTCGTTGTTTTTCCTAATTTTATAGACATTCACGTTTTATGTTCTAGACTCGTGTGATCATGTTATGCGATATATTCTTAAAAGGAGGATAAGTCATATCTTAAACATTTTGTTTTGTTTTATCGACATTAACTTTTTTTTTGGACTGATATTGACACTAACTTGATAATTATTATATCATAAAATGAATTCAACAAATGAGAGATAAAGATGAACTAAAGGTGTTTTTTCTTATTGGAAACTTGAAAAGGAAATATATTTTTTGTTAATAGGATTTAAAATGTTACTTACTTTGACCGAAATTGCAACAATAATGCAATAAATTTTGTGAACAAGAAGGAAATGGATTAGTTACAAAAAAACAAAAAAAGAAGCAAATGGATTTTCGAATTCACTATCATGTTGGAAGTGTTCGTGAATGGATGAATCGGTTTGAAGAAGCTATATTTACATAATCTTAATCTTCAAATGAAGTAGCAAATATTTTATCAAAATACATTTGACAAAGGACTAAGAGTGTTTAATCCGGATTTTGGATATTTACATTTTTTTTTCTCTTTTTTGGTTGTTTTGAATTATATATATAATTATATTTAAGGTAAAATATATATATATGGTCTAGCTTCAGTTTGATTTTAACTAGAAATTAATCCGCACTACACGCAGAACATCTTTGATTTTCAAAAATATTAAGTATATACATATTTTTTGAATATTTTATTTTGAGTGTTAAAAAAATTGTTAAAAAAATAACAATGTATTTTGAATTGTATGTTATTGAGATTAAAATTATCGTATTGTAAAGTTTATGTGAGTATTTTTGGTGATTTTTGAATTTGTGTTGTTCGTATACTTAACCTAAATGATATTGATGCTTAACCATTTATTGTTTTTCCAAAAGTAAAAAAAAAAATGATATATCAAAACGTATCTAATAAATGTCAAATAATAGTATAAAATACATCTTAATCATTATATGTAAATAACAATTTTTTATTTTTATTTTTAAAACAAATTGCTTAAAATATTGTATTTAACAACATTATATATAATATAATAGTTTAAGTTTGAAATATTAATATCTATATAATTTATGTGTAATATAAAAAATAATGTAAGATATTATATATTGATAACTGAATAAAAAGTTGAATTTAGTACTTGAAAATTAAATATTTATATTTTTGTCTTCATGCTTATATTCAACAACTTCATTATTGAATATATAACTCACTATGTTTTAAAAAAAACAAAGTTTTAAATAATAATCTAATTTAAGAAATTAAAGTCATCATCGGTTATATTCTTTAAACTATATTTGAAAGCTTTTGAAAAACTATATTTTAAGCATAACATTACTATTAGTCAATTAAAATTGTTTAATTATAAATATTATAAAAACATTTAATATATTTTTATATTGTTAGGATTATATCATTTTGAATATTTAAAATCATTTGGGCAAAAAAAAAGTAATTTGAAACCCAAGAAAATTATGGATTAGAATAATTTAATTTCGGGGAATATCTTTGAGTCTGTGAGGAGAATATCAACTCCTATGAATAGGTTTCGGTTTTGGAAGTTGCAGGCTTCCCATCAATGAATCAGCCTAACCAAAAGTTCATTGTTACAGAAATCTCCTTCGAAGTCAAACGTTTTTGGGACGGCAAAAGTTAATGGTAGAGCCAGTGTTTTTTCTCCCTGAAGTTCTTTGGAGTCTTCTTTGATGGGTGTGAGGTTGATGTCGATGAAATAATGAGTTTTATAGTGAACTTTTTGATGTAAAATTATACTTTTTTCTTTTTTTTTGTTTTATATTGTATTTCATTTTTATATTTATATTACTTATTTATTTATTTTAACATTTTAATGTAAGTTTTTAATGTAGTATTCCATTTTTAAATTTTTAAATTTAATTATTATTATTTTTTCTTCATATTGTGTATTTCCGTTTCTTATACTTTATACTACGTAATATCTATTTTTACATTTTATGATATATGCTGAATTTTTAATGTAGTATTTCCATTTTTAAGGGGTTTTTGCAAATTTGACTCAAAACTCATAGTCAAACACAAAACTAACTTCTTCTTTTAACTCATCTTGTTTTTGTCCTATCCACCCCACATCTTCATTTTATTTACGAAAATGCCATTAAATTTTTTTTTTACTTTTTTTTCGAAAATGGCCTTTTTATTCTCTCAACCTCATCATCTTCAAGTATTTACAACATTGCCATTGTCATGAATACTCCCAACAACCTTGTACAACCCAACAACCTTGTACAACCAAGGTTTGAAGCTTTTAATGCACTTAAAATCGATACTCATACTCTCTTTCTCAATTGTTATGAACTAAAAACAACATCTCCTTCACTTTGTCTCCATATTCATACCAAAAACCCAAGCTTTTGATACCAAATTTTTTTATGGTTGATAGAGCCATTTAAGCATACAGTTGCTGGTGGGTTACTTTCGTTCGATGTTCTGGGTGGTTGGAGAAGACTCTGTGTGCAAAGGAAGTCATCTCACCTAGTTTAAGGTTTGAAATTGAATTTTTTTCCAGATCTCTTCGCGTAGAAGACTTACCCGTAAGTCTTCTGGATGTAGAAGACTTACGGATAAGTCTTCTGGTCAAACGGACGACTTACTTATAAGTCGTCCAGCTTTGTTTGTTAAAAAAAAAAACACCAGACGACTTATAATTAAGTCGTCTAGATAAAACGGTCTACTTTTGCTTTTGACCGAATTGTGTCAGATATTTGACTTTTTCTGGACGACTTAAAATTAAGTCGTCCCTGGGAAAGTTAAAATTTCAATATTTTATTAAATCTAGACGACTTACGGATAAGTCGTCTAAGGTTAGTTTTGCAATTCAAAAATAAAACTTAAATTTTTAACTTCTNTTTTGCTTTTGACCGAATTGTGTCAGATATTTGACTTTTTCTGGACGACTTAAAATTAAGTCGTCCCTGGGAAAGTTAAAATTTCAATATTTTATTAAATCTAGACGACTTACGGATAAGTCGTCTAAGGTTAGTTTTGCAATTCAAAAATAAAACTTAAATTTTTAACTTCTCCAGACGACTTAATTAAAAGTCGACCACTCAGACGACTTAGGTTAAAGTCGTCCAGGATAATCAAAGTCGTCCAGAATATTTTTCGAGTTTTCTGGTCAAACCTTGCTTATTCTGGACGACTTTAACATAAGTCGTCTGGAGAAGTTAAAAATTTAAGTTTTATTTTTGAATTGCAAAACTAACCTTAGACGACTTATCCGTAAGTCGTCTAGATTTAATAAAATATTGATATTTTAACTTTACCAGGGACGACTTAATTTGAAGTCGTCCAGAAAGAGTCAAATATCTGACACAATTCGGTCAAAAGCAAAAGTAGACCGTTTTATCTAGACGACTTAATTATAAGTCGTCTGGTGTTTTTTTTTTAACAAACAAAGCTGGACGACTTAGAAGTAAGTCGTCCCATTTAAATTTCAATTGCAAAAATGACCTCAATGGGCGACTTACTGGTATGTCGTCCAGACGATGTTTAGTAAACTTTCATGAAATTCTCTATGTTTACTAATGTGTTTTATTTTGAATTTTTGCAGATGATTCGTTAGTTACATGCAGTGTATGGAGAATGGTTGTTGAAAGATTGCCGTTGAGATTTTGTGGTTGATGATCTCAAAGGAGAAAGTTTGTTTTTATTGAATGAAGATTCAACACATGCTGAACTTGTTGCAATGGCACAAGAAGATTATAACCTGGACATGAGCATAGTCACTGTGGAGATTAGATACTCATTACCAGCAGAAATGATGATGGCTCCAGACACCCCTCTCATTCATGTTACAAGTGATAGACAAGTTCATAACTTGCTCGAGATACTCAAAACTCATAGAGTATGTCTTTGTGTGTCAAGCCGTAGCAAGGTGGGAACGGTTTCAGAGAAAAGGGAAGAAGCTGATGAATGTTTTGAAGATGAAGGTGATAATGAGTTGGTTGGAGATGAAAATCATGATGGGGAGGAGGATGATAAGAAGGAGGATGATGGGGAGGAGGATGATAATGAGGAGGATGATAAGGAGGAGGATGCTGAAATCTCTGTTTGCTCTAATGTTGCTGAAGCGGACGAGAATGGTAAGGATTATAGTGTTTATGGAAATGTTAGAGATGAGGATGAGGAAGAAGATGGTGATGTGGTTTTTGAAGATTTCAAAGATACATATGCTATTGAAGGAGGACGATCGAATGGTAACGGTATATATGTCAACAAGAGTTTTGTTAGCAAGGATGCACTGCTTTCAGAGCTGCGGTTGACAGCAGTGAGGCGTAAGTTCTCCTTCAGAATATACAAGTCAGCTAAAACTCTCCTTGTGTCAACATGTCGGGTTAGTGGTTGTGGATGGAAGATAAGAGCGAGTGTGAAACATGGTACAAACACGTTTTGGGTAACAAAATATGTGGCAACACATACATGCTCAGTGGGAGACCGAATCGCTCAGCGGAGACACTGTACTCCGAAGTATGTCGGTAGGCTTTTCATTGATCGTGTTGGAATCATTGATGGGTTGACTCCGCAGCATATCAAAGATGCAATGGAGAACATGTTTGGCATGGAGCTTGATTACACCACTTCATACAGGGCACTGTTATATGCACAAACATTGGTGAGAGGAACCGCAGAAGATGGGTATTCGCATCTGCCATCATATCTCGAGCAAATCTCCTTAGCAAATCCCGATTCAGTCACGGCTATAGAACTTGATTC